CTTGGCTTTCACTACTTAGGTGATGCCATGCTCGGGTTTTACGTAACTCAATTACCAAGTGCATCTTCGTATACAGGACTTTAAGTATAATTCTACCTAACTTCTAGAGTCTAAGTACGTGATGTAGTGGGTCAAACTTAGGACCTATTATCTAAAAGCCGAGTACTTTAACCACTAATCCATCACCCCACGTTCCATGGTCTACATGGGTTGCTAAGCTAGGAATAAAATCCCCATGAGATAGCGTCGGTTAAGTTACGAAAGTGATTTTCCCTTCATTTTATTAAAATATATCTTAAAGTAGTATTACATAAAACGGGGGAAGGTTGTTTAGCGATTTAGTAGTCAAATGCTGATTTATCAATACTGCTATCATTGTCCTGATTAGTGTTATGACAGTTTTAGGCTGTTATAATGCGTCCTTCAATGCAATAAAACCCATCAATTCCTGATAGTAAATTGTATGGTGATTTATTTATGATGCAAACCTCAATAGCAGTTTATTTTCATCGTCTAGGCAGTAGTCATCTGTATCACCACTGATTTATATGTTTCAGCTTATGTACGTCTTGTGTACCCAGTTCACGGATATAGTAAAAACTAACATTCAGTCGAAATGTGTACTTCTCGTGCCAAACAAGGAACAGCATGATTTAAGGATAGTGTTACAAATGCAAAATTATCTAAGTTCTGCTCAATCGCCTACGGTCATCAGGAATGATGGTTTTTCGTTAGAAATTAACTTAACTAATGTGTTATCTGGTTTTAATGTCAAAAGTTCGTTCATTCTGGTCTTTATTACTGATTATCCAAACCTATAGGAAAGCCGACGGGGAATTCAATTCCTCAAGTGAAATTTCCGCAATTCGACCATGTATGTTCATGACCCATGTGAATTAATATTATAAGGTCCATTAACGTATTATTAATACCTGGTTGTGAATTAATCATTAAAATTGGACATAGAATTTTATTAACCTTGATACAAAAATTGTCCATTACGGAAACAATATCGTGATTTCTAATGATAGGTGTATTATCCTAAACATACCTTTAGGTTTCCAAATTGAAAGAAACTCTGTTCAACCACTTCAACTTGTCCAAACTAGTGATTTGCTCGGACCACATAAGCGCCCTAAATTCGACTTACGAAATTTGTCTGCAAAAATAGGCAATACAAGTTCCGGTGCAAATATTACTGACCAGATTTCAGATATTGGATCAGTTGTTCATATTCTCCCTTCAAATCTTCAGCTTACTCCAGTGAATCTTGGTAATGACGGTAAATATGTATACTCTTTAACTGGTTCATCACAAGAGTGTGACGTAAATAGGCAAAGTTTGATTGATAAAAATCCTGCGAATGTTCAAGATGAACCGAGATACTATCTGTCTAAGGTAGGTTATTCTTCATGCCTTATTGTTTGTACGTCTGTAAGGTGGTTTAAACGGATAGTTAGCATCTCCAGCTTTACTGCTTGAAGTTGTAAAATGTTTGATCTCAAAATACTACTTCATTCCCCCCTACTGATTCCTGAGACGCAGTGATATGTGAAAAGTAAGTAATCAGCACAACAAAAAATGCCCACAAAATATCGTGTGGCCAAGACCATACAACTATTCGTTTAGTTCTGTAATCATGCTTCCAGGTTACTGAAAATCCTCAACACTAGTCCCTTTTCCTTCCCAAATTCTTTATGAAGGAATATCCCTATTTATTATGGTCAACCGGGACGTATCGACCGCCATTGTTTGCATGAGAAACGTTATCTGGCTCGGAAACAACAGGCGGTGTTCGTCAAAGCTGCCAACTTTCCCGATTTTCATGTAACTTTGTCATAGGTATTCAAAATATAACTCGTTCTTCGTCTGACTTTTTAGGAATTAATATCTTACAACGATATGTACGCATCGATTTCGAGTGTACCTATGGCTGTCTTGTTTTCCTTAAGTAACAATCCAGTCCTATTCAGATTCCCTTTCTTTCCTTCTAAATGTAACTTGTTGCTTCAGGACTGGTGTGCGTCAATCCCTAGTTTGACCATAGGAAGTGAAATAAAGGAGCGCGATTACCGCTTGGTGTCTGGAGCTTAACAAACTCCGATACAGATTCAGAAAACTTGCTTAACTTCCACCGATTTTGGTAACCCGTGGGGTAGGTAAGATGTCCATCTACCAACGAAAGGTTAATTATATTGCTCAGCAGTCCTCTCCGCTTTAATTTATGGTTGTGGCCATTAAATATAGAGGATACTCGTAAGTTACTAGTATTTGATCACAGATGTCTTAGAAATATTGCTCACGTCTGCTGGGATCATCGGGTAAGTAATAGTGAGGTTAGACGCAAGGTATTAGGGAATGATGGTAAGTCAGTTGATGAGGTTGTGAATCTTCATCAACTGAGATGGTTAGGTCAGGTATTGTGCATACCTAACAACCGATTATCATGACGCATAATGCTGACTAGTGTTGGAGACGAATGGAAGTTAGGGGCAGCCAAACTAAAACGTAATGTCAGTCCGTAAAGTCACTAAATTCTTGTCTAAGTCATGTTGGCAGATACAGACTACTCGGTTGTGGTCCGTGCGACTATCGTAACTAGTGGTTGGAGACTGAGTGACATGGCTCAGAATCGATCACAATGGCGTAGGTGTATATCCTCTGTCTTCCCATAAACCGTGAGATAGATATTGCTTTATACCTTTCTACCAACTAATTCATCATTCATGTATTAAATCCTTATATGTAATCTTCCTTTTATGTATTACTACCATTGAAGTAACTACTATAAATTCGGTGTTCATCTTGTGCTAATGAGGTGTGGCAACTTGGAGCGAAGGAGATATGTGCCTGGTCCTACCTTGTGGCTGACTGACTGTAAAACATGGCCTATGGAAACAGTTGTCCATAAGCTGCAGGCTTTTGATATGTCTTTTCAAAGCATTGCTTGCGTTTTATGGAATAACTGAGTAAGTAGTACTGAGATTAGATATAAATTATTAAGCAAAGATCGCATATTGGTTGGTGAGACTAGTGATTTTCGTCGACTGAGGTGTCTTAGTAATTGACTTATTCGAATTTCAGCCACTAAGTCCCTGGTTCAAACACCTCTCCACCTAACTTGGCCTGAGTAACCGGATATCATTGACTCTAACAGTGGCTCATATTCAAGTACCTGATGAATGAGTAGCTATATTTTATACCATATACATCGACTTTCAATGTTTGCTGATGTAAGAGTAAATTGAGAAAAGATACAGTGATTGGAAAATCATAATACGAGATCAGCCCATGAGGTCGTTGGCTGTTGATCTGATCAGTGTTGAAAGGTGCAAGATTCCTGGTCGGTGTTTTAAAATATTTGCTTACATGGTGCAAAGTAGCTCAGTTTTGTTCTCTATCTTCCCGTAAATTCTGAGTTGGTTTCTCAAAGAAATCAGAAATTTTTTTCACTAGTCATTGTTTACCACCTATTAGCCTTCTCATTTCTAACTATAAAATTCCACTTATAACAATTTAATCTTATTTCTATTTCCAAACCAAAGGTGGACGATAATTTCATGCATCCCACAAATGATGAAGAGTTTCCTGTAGGCCTTAATATTGAGGAAGACGGTGTTACAGATGTGAATAATTCTATTTTAGAGTTAAACTGGCCATGTAGTAGATCAGATACGCCTTACTGTCTAACTGATTCTCCTGGCTTGAGTGACGTAATACCTTCAAAGTTAGATGGTGTAACAGATGAAAGTATTTGTGACCTGCTTCTTAACTGTGACTCACAAACCGAACAAGTAGTCGGTAACAATCAGTCTCTCCCAGAGTCTACCATTTCAAAATACACGTAAGTCTTCAACCTATCAACACAGTAACTCATCCGTAAGTTTTATGGTTAACATAGTTCCACCAATTGTAAATCTTTTAATTTTAACCTGTAAGCAACTTAGAACCATGTCCAAATGTGCATCAAAATAAGTTGTCTTAAAGTCAAAATAGTTTTTTTCTTGATGTCAGTATGGAATCCTTATACGTGTTTTGATGCACTTTGAGGTAAAATTGTTTTCTACTTAACAACACTAAAGAACTGCCCTTGCACATGAAATGTATGGTTGTTATTTGTGTCGTTTTCAGGAAGGAGCCGATAAGAAAACAGCATAAAATTCAGAACAGACCCCGTTGTATCGTACCTTTTTCAGAAAGCGACCCTCAATTTCCTTCCACAACTCTCCAGGACATTGACAGTCTTCCATGGGAGAAGTATCAAGATAGTGGTTTTGACTTTAACCTCGGTAAGTGTTCCATTCCACTTGAAAATATTACAAGTTTAGATGTTGAACAAAATCCAACAGAAAATTCAAGCAGTTCTTCAAATGGTCTTATAGTCGGTACGTATAAATAGTCTTTTGATGTTAACCTATGGTTGGCAGATTTACTCCTCAAATATTCCTCTAAATCATTTTTTAGTTAGACATCTAATACTAGATATTGAAATCTTAATTCAAAATTGGTAATAAAGCCCACACACAAATCAAGTGACTTGTGTGGCGCATATGTATTCGGTGCCCCTTTGTACCAATATTTATGTGTTCAAATAAATAAATAAATGAAATGCAGCACATTAGTTGTTTCTCCTGAAAATAAAGAATCATAAAAAACTTCCTGTTTCGTAGATATTTGGAGTTCATTTCTACACAGTTTATTTTATTGACTTTCATAACCAACTCATGTTGTTAAACTTACTGGTATTTAATCATTGCTCAGTTTTGTATGATAATATTTCATGCGAATGATTCGTTCAGTTTCCCAATGAATTTTCAACAGCTTGGATGTGATGATATTTTAGCACTTCACCATCAGATTGCTTTTGCAGCATACTTACTTACTTACGCTTGTTACTCCCGATGGGGCATAGGCCGCAGACCAGCATTCTCCAACCCACTCTGTCCTGGGCCTTCTTTTCTAGTTCCATCCAATTCTTGTTCATTTTTCTCATGTCTATTTCCATTTCTCGGTGTAGTGTGTTCTTTCATCTTCCTCTTTTCCTTTAGCCTTGAGGATTTCATGTGAGGGCTTGTCTTGTGACCCGGTTGGGTGCTTTCCTCAATGTGTGTCCTATTCACTTCCAGCGCTTCTTCCTGATTTCTTCCTCCACTAGGATCTGGTTTGTTCTCTACCACAGTAGGTTGTTGCTGATGGTGTCTGACCAACGGATCCGAAGTATTTTGCGTAGACAGCTGTATCTTCTACATGATGGCTTTCGTAGTTCTCCAAGTTTCCGCCTCATACAGTAGAGCTATCTTGACATTTGTATTGAAAATCCTGACCTTGGTGTTGGTTGACAGTTGTTTTGAGATCCAGATGTTCTTCAGTTGTAAATATGCTGCTCCTGCTTTTCCGATCCACGCCTTCACATCTGCATCAGACCCACCATGTTCATCAATGATGCTGCCCAAATATGTACAGGTTTCTACATCTTCCAAAGAGAAAGGGTGAGAGTAAGCAACCTTGCCTGACACCGGTCTTTACCTCGAACAAGTCTGTCAATTGTCCTCCATGCACAATTTTGCAGTTTAATCCATCATAGGAATTCTGTATGATATTCACTATCTTCTGAGGCACGCCGTAGTGTCGAAAATGCTTCCATAGTGTTGTTCTGTCCACGCTATCAAATGCTTTCTCGTAGTCAATGAAGTTGATGTAGAGTGATGAATTCCATTCAGTTGATTGTTCCACAATGATCCGTAGAGTTGCGATTTGATCTGTACACGATCTATCCTTACGGAATCCTGCCTGTTGGTCACGAAGTTGTGCGTCTACACAGTCCTTCATCCTGTTTAACAATACCCTGTTGAAGACTTTTCCCGGTATTGAGAGAAGAGTGATGCCCCTGTAGTTATTACTCTTGCTGAGATCGCCTTTCTTCGGTATTTTAATCAAAAGTCCTTCTTTCCAGTTTGTTGGTACTTGTTCCTCATCTCAAATCTTATTGAAGAGAATGTGGAGTATCCTTGCAGTTGCCGCTACGTCTGCTTTCAGTGCCTCTGCTGGGATGTTGTCTGGTCCTGCTGCTTTGCCACTCTTGATTTGCCTGATGGCCATGCTTATCTCTTTAATTGTTGGTGGGCCAACATCGATTGGGAGGTCCGTGGGTGCTGCTTCGATGTTGGGTGGGTTCAGTGGAGCTGGTCGATTCAAGAGTTCTTCGAAGTGTTCTACCCACCTGTTTCGTTTTTCTTCAATATTGGTGATTACCTCGCCTTCCTTGATTTTCACTGGTCGTTCTGGTTTGCGGCGATGTCCAGACAGTTTCTTTGTTACGTCATACAGTTGTCTCATGTTTCCTTCTCTTGCAGCCTTTCCCGCCGTCATTGCTAGATTTTCCACATATTTACGTTTGTCGGTTCTGATGCTCCTCTTCACTTGTTTGTTTATTTCCGTGTATTCAGCTTGTGCCTTGGCTTTTTCTGCTCTTGTTCGGCTGGTACTGATTGCTGCTTTCTTGTTCCTCCTTTTTTGAATCATATCCAGTGTATCAACAGTGACCCATTCCTTGTGATGGTGCTTCTTGTGAACCAGAACCTCATGACTTGTTGAAGTGATTGCTTCTTCGATCCCCTTCCAGTTGCTCTCCATAGTAGTTCCTTCTCCATTGAGTAGATCATGAAAGGCCTGGAACTTATTGCTGAGGACTATCTTGAATTCGTTGAGTTTGTCAGTATCCCGAAGAAAGGATGTATTAAGCTTTTGTGATATTGTCCGCCTAGTTGTCCAGTGCTTCTTGAGTTTCAATTTCATCTTGGCAACCAGTAAGTGATGATCTGATGCTATATCAGCTTCTCTCTTGGTTCTCACGTCTTCCATCGTCCTCCTAAAGTTTTTGTTGATGTAGATATGGTCGATTTGATTTTGTGTAGTGTGATCCGGTGAAGTCCATGTGGTTTTGTGTATGCGTTTATGTGGGAATATGGTGCCGCCTATGACCAGTTTATTGAAGGCACATAGGTTTGCAAATCTCTCACCATTTTCGTTCCTTTCTTCCAGTCCGTGTCGTCCCATGATGTCTTCATATCCAGTGTTGTCCGTCCCAACCTTGGCATTTAAATCTCCCATCAGAATGGTCAGGTCCTTTGTTGGGCACTTCTCGATGATTGACTGCAGCCTATTGTAGAATTGATCTTTAGCGTCTTCATTGTGGTCGTTGGTAGGCGCATAGCATTGGATGACGTTCATTGTAATGCCCTCTTTCTTTGTTTTGAATGAGGCTTTGATGATCCCTGGTCCATGAGATTCCCATCCTATACGTGCATTTTGTGCTTGTTTGGACAGCATCAATGCAACTCCTTGTGTATGTGGGGCATTTTCTTCTTCATGGCCGGAGTATAACAGGAGCTCTCCTGAAGTTAGTCGTTGTTGTCCAACTTGCGTCCAATGTGTTTCACTGATCCCAAGCACCTCTAGACTGTATCTTCTCATTTCTGCAGCAATTTGGAAGGCTCTCCCGGTGTCCCACATTGTACGAACCTTCCATGTACCTAAATAAATGGTTGCTCTGGTTTTCAGATGGGGCATCGGCCTCGTAACTTCTGAAGGAACTCGGTTTTCATTATGAGGCGTCATAACTCTTCTAAATGAAAACACTGACTCCCAGGGCAGAGTTTAAAAGGTTTGAATAACTTTTTCTGGTTATCGTTTTTTAGCGAGTTAGTTTTCTATGAAATTGGGTCGCTAACCCCATGCCCGACCCTCCTCCTTTGTCCGGGCTTGGAACCGGCAGTAGCTCCCGGAGGGACTCCAAGCGGAGTTCTTTTGCAACATAATCAAGCTTTTTTTCTTTTTACTACTAAAAGCCAACGTTTTATTATTGTTATAACTCTGCTTCTTACGGTTGATGGCCCAGCTATTCCTATTGCTTAGTATTCTCGGACACGGATTCACTCGACAAGTCCCCAAATCAAAACACGGTTGAACAGGAAAATGATTATATTCCAAATAGCAAGTCAGAAGCACAATAGGGAAAACGTCAGTATATTTATAGTTTTTTACATAAGAAGATTCCAGAATATTCTCCAACTATCGACTAGTGCTGATTGGATAAGAATCAGCCAATCAGCGTGCAGCAAAGCAATCATGCATTGAGCATGCTTTAATCCAGTCTATGTCCCGCTAACACCTCCCCTCTGAGCAGATTCGTAGGATCTGGTGCTAGGGTCCAACTGCAACTGAGTGACTGGCTTGTGCTTTTGATTAGTCCATCGTCTAGGCAATAGAGAAGTATCACTCTTTTGTTGCACAGAAACTGACGTGTCTATTCCCGGTGTTTTGATTTCAAAGGTGTCTAGCAGAACATCAAGAGGTAATCGATATTGAATCTTGTTGCTGGCTATCGAAGTTGCTTTCAATTGGTTAGCATGACGTACCCAAACTTCCGAGCCAACTGACACCTCGTAAACCACACTCCCCTTCTTTCTCAAGATGCGACCAGCTGTCCATGTAGGATGTTTCCCACGACAGTCCATAGCAAGTACTTTTTGTCCCACCGTGAACAATCGTCTTTGTGCCCCATGATGTCGGTTGAACTGATTCTCCATCGATAGGTTTCGTTGGGGTTCAATAACTGGCGCAGGACGGATGACATCGAAATGTGTTCGTATTTTTCTTTTCGGTTTTCCTAGTAACCTATCACCTGTCTTCTTTGGAAGTACTGGGGTGTCCAATGATGAACGCGATACGTTACAGACACTGTTAATTGGTACATCCATTATTCCAAGTTTGTCTAACATATCTAGACCAAGAAGATCAAGGTTTGGCCGTTCTGTTAGGTAACATATTCCTGTACAGTTAGTTCCATTGAAGGAAAATTCACACTGTAATTCACCAACCAGTTTTAGCACACCACCTGATGCGTTTTTAGCCGTTTTCTTAGATGGCTTCATTGGCGGTTTACTCAGCAAGTTATACGTTTCTCTAGACACTAACGTGATATCTGATGCCGTGTCAATTTGAAGACGAGCTGATATGCCGTTTATCTGGATGGTAACATATTTTCTCCGAATGTCATAGTTTGTTTGAAAGGCAGCTACCAGAGAAAGAGATTTAGACTCGGCTGATTTCACATGTCGAGGACGTTTATGCTTCTTCTTAGGCTGAGACGTACGCTTCGGTGGACAATGACCTTCTTTATGTCCACGTTTGTTGCACTCCTGACATTTATGCTTCTTGAATGGACAGAATCGTGCATAATGCCAATCACCGCATAACCAGCATGCAGTCCTTGGTTTGTTACGAGTTGTTACCGGCTTCTGAACTTTTAACCTAGTAATAGTATTTACACTACCGCAGGTTAAATTAGGATTTACCTGTTCAATCAACTCGTTGTCGTGTCTGATGCTTTGTAGACGCTTACACTCATCTGTCAATGTTCTGAGTGTGACGTTTGGGTCTTGATCCAGTCGAGCTAAAAGTCTAGTCCTGATCTCAGCATCTCGTGGTGACTGAAGAGCTTTGATGAATATTAAGCATTTAAATTGGTCATCAGTCAACGAGCGTAACTTGAAACGTTCACATTCTCTGTTGACGATGTCTGCTAGAACACCATATTCATCGGCTTCGCGTTTCACCAAATTTAGACACCGATATCGAATACTAAACAACGAGGATGACTCGCCGAATATCTCTGACAACTGAAATACCGTCTCCTCGAAACTGAGCTCTCGAGGTAACTTTGGCAATGTATGGTCAGCAAAACGTGCATGTTCACTGCTTCCCAACTTACGTACCAACAATCGGGTCTTCCACACATCGTCTTGGTTACAGAATTCTGTTCTAAATGTATCTTTCCAACGTTTGAACCACGTGAGAAAAGTATTTCCACTTTCGGGATCATAGATGAATTCTGGGATGCTGCTAGCGACTGCATCACAAGACGTACTTGAAATAGCATGTGAATTCGAGCAGTGGATGTTAAGCTGTTGAATCAGAGTCTCCAACAACCGCATTTGTGCATCAAGTTGTGCTTGCTGTTGTTGTAGTATTCGGTTAAGCTGGTCATCTGATATGGGCATCTTGAATTTGTTTTCCTTTTTCCCCGTCGCCACTGTTATAACTCTGCTTCTTACGGTTGATGGCCCAGCTATTCCTATTGCTTAGTATTCTCGGACACAGATTCACTCGACAAGTCCCCAAATCAAAACACGGTTGAACAGGAAAATGATTATATTCCAAATAGCAAGTCAGAAGCACAATAGGGAAAACGTCAGTATATTTATAGTTTTTTACATAAGAAGATTCCAGAATATTCTCCAACTATCGACTAGTGCTGATTGGATAAGAATCAGCCAATCAGCGTGCAGCAAAGCAATCATGCATTGAGCATGCTTTAATCCAGTCTATGTCCCGCTAACAATTATTGAAGTATATTGTATTTAATGTGAGTTGTTTACATCCATGCCAGTTAATTTATTCGCTGAATTTTTGTTGTAGGTAGGATTGAAACTTCAGAAATATTTGACCACTTACAACTTGTTCCCATAAACCTGTAATTTGTCTTTGGACATTAAACGATATGCATTGTTGTGGGTTCTTGTAAATTGTCAATGTAATATTTTCTTTTTTGTGCATAGGCAATGAAATTATTCCGGTAGAACCCGTTAATTTAAACGCATGTGATGATGTTATCCAGTTCTTGAGGTCAGAAATTCCTGACAAGAAGTTAAAATCAGATGAACCATTAAAAACTGTTGCAACGACTGAGGCACAAGCCTCTACTCAAAATGGTGCTATTGATTTAACAAGCAATTCATCTGCGCCAACTACCTGGAAAGCAAGACTTTCTGCCAACAATCGGCTCACAATATCCGCCTCTCCCAAAGTTAAACGAAAACAAGTACCGGTTTTGATCCGCAGAAAATCAATCACCCCTCTTTCAACTCCTGACTTTTGTGAGGAAGAATTGGAATAATGTACAATCCAGGTTAGTCCTTCAAAATATTTCTTTCGTAGATATGATAACTTATGATTGCTTTCATTTTATTTATTATATTTACTAAGTTTTTGTGTTTGTACACGTGATATACTAGACAAGTTTACCATCTGGAGCTCCAGTGCTCGTAAGTAACTTTTTCTCCATGAAGGAAATCTTCTATTCACTCAGGAATACAATACCCCTCCCTTGAGTGACATCGAATTCTTACAAAAGCTACATCGACCAGTACATATGCCCGAAGTTATTTTTGTTTCTTGAAATCTATTTACTTCTAAGTATATATCAAGCGTTTCAACCCTATTTCCCGATTTCATACTTTGAACTAGTAATTATAATAATTCACACATCGTATGACTTTTTCTTATGCAAAACAATTTTGTGTTTTTTACTTTTACAGTGCTCTTCATTTCATTGTAATTCCTACACACAGTAGTTTCCCAAAGAATTTCTTCACGATAAAGATTCGCCAAAGTAATATATCATGAACCGCTTCTACGAAACCATTTTTTCCCACGTAAAAGTTTTCTTGTAAGCTCTCATAAACAGCGAGTTTCACGATCATGTTGGACGAATACGAATTTAATGACCATACACGATTGTTTTTTCGATGAATAACCAAGTTTTAAACATTTCTCCAGTGTGTTTATTGATTAGTCCTATCTGTTCATGCAGATTTTAATATATTGTGTTTCACAAAGTATAAAGACGGTGTATCAGATTCTATTAAACAATAATTAATATCGACATTTTTTTCTGCTTCTCATCTATTTTTAGATGTAATCATTCAAAGAAATTAGATTATGCTTTCCTTACAATAATTCCTTAGTTAGAGCAGACTCAAATTACAGTTCGTATCCTGATTGTTATTATTCAAAGTTATCCGTCTTCTAGTCGATAGACATTATAAACTGTCCACTTCAATTGGTTGGTAACAGAATTCTTTTAAATTATAAAAATTGCGAAAATATTATATATAATGATAATGTATGGAACTGTCCAGTGGACGAAGCAAAGTTCTAGAAATAAAGATATATTAATATGTTGAGTTTAGATTTGTAACTGCAAAATTAGTTTTGGTGGATTTCATCTATTTATAGCTACAATCTACAGTGAGCGGAACAAAGTGAATGTTTATTTTGGTTACTAACATCAGTTAATCATTTA